CGCTGCTCGGGACGGGCTGGGCATCGGTCAGCGGGTGGTGAGCAATTGCATTGTGCCTCATTCGTTTTGTATATTCTGTATATTCTGTTACCATTCTCATTATTATTATTATTATTTTCTCTTATTAAACTGTCTTTATCTCAGCCCTCGGCTCTAACCTTTTATTTTATTCCTGATTCTCTCCCCCATCCCATTGAGGGAGAGGGGGAGTGAGCGAGCGGCTGCGTGGTGCTTAGTTGCCAGCCGGGTTAAACCACGACACCCATGGGAACAATCTGATTTTTGCAATTTCCCCAAACCTGTAGCTTTCTCCACAGAGACCAAGAATTGCTGTCTCTCACATGCTACCATAATCAACATACAGTTTTACATAACTTGTTTCTGTATTTAAGACAGGTAGTGGTATCTATTAGTCAGGTAGCTGATACATCCTAAATCTGTTCTTTAGTCGCTTACAATGTTTTGTTTGGGATGAAATTTTTCATCTTGTGTGTATACTCTACCTCTCTTCATTTTATTTTTTTTTTCCAATTTTTGTGTGAAAACTACAGTTAGAGCAATTCAGCTTTTTCCTGAAACTAGGGGGAGAAGAGTAATTTGCCCTTGTCTTTAGTACCTCAAGCAGGTTGTCAGGAAAATTCGCTAGGCTTGCATGCATGTATGTTTTCCGTAGATTGTGTCTGGTACTTAGAACTACTTTCTCTGTCATTGCACATCTGCTGTGGGCTTTGCTGGGTTCAGTGGCCTGAAGTGAGTTGTAAAAAATCTCTTCCGTGTTGTCAGTTATGCTTTTGCTGGCTCAAATAGCTGGAGCTGTCTGCCTGAATGAAGGAGCAAGGATCAGTTGTGTGAGGACAGCAGGAGTGTAAACTGGGACAAGGATCACTCGGGCTTTAAGGTTTTCTGGCAATGAGATGACAAGCCTTTGAAGGGAAGGGATTCTTACTGCTCTAGATGATGGGGAATAAAAAGACAGTAAGCCGCTGCTCCTGCCCCTTTTAGCCTTCACCTTGGTCTGTGAGCGTGCACGTTGGTTGTGAAAACTAATGGCACGTGGCTGAAGCCAAGAGCAAAGAAGAATGTCTGAAATCGGAAACAGTAGCCATCTCTTATTTCTGCTTATTTCTAAAAGAAAGAGAGGGTACTTGCTGACAGTAAACTTAACTAGTTTGAGGCATCTTGCTACAACAGCCTGAGAAAGGGCACCTGCATGCATTTAAGGCGTGGGAAAGGAATAGCTTGGTGAAAGTAGTAGCTTGGTGTTCTACTTTGGTGGTTTCAGATCCATTTGCTGGCTCTCACTCTGGAAAACTTGTACTATCATGGGGTTCAGTGGATCAACCTTTTTTTTTTTTTTTTTTTGCCTTTCCCCCATGTCATCAGCTTTCTTGGTGCAAGTGCAAGTGTGAAGCACTTCGTCTCCTCCCTATGATCAGGGCAGGCACCACAGAGCTTTGGGACTTTAGTTCTGCGCCTCACTGGTAAGGCCCACCCAAGAGGGTGAAAAAGTTTCTAGCTAATCATCAGACACATTGTCTATTTTAGATGGGTTTCCTAAGGAAAGAAGCTTCAGTGATTGAACTGTTTCGGCTTTTCTGCCTCAGTCTGTTTTCAAACCATCAGTCCATTTGAACTAGATTTGGCAAGGGAGTGAGGTCCTTAAAAACATGAAGTTCTGATTTTCATGAAAATCGGTGTCTGTTTTTGGAATGGACTAGTGTCCCACTGAGGAAAGAGCTACACTGAGGTCAGCAGGCAAGTTTGC